TAACATACCTTAATTAGAGGCACAATAATCACTACTTGGCCTTTAACACAACAGTGACTCAATTTCATTCATCAATTGAGATTCTATCATTATCAATTGGGCGTCACACAAATTAAATGATACAATAGTTTTTGCGTGGGATAAGTTTTCAAATATATATATATATATTGCTAAATAAGATAAAGAGTAGAAACTTGTTTGGAAATGACTAAAAAAGTAATAGAAATGTCAATTTTTTTTTCTCTAACAAAAAGTATTTTTTCACAATTCCTAACCAAATCATTTTGTTTTTATTTTATTTAAAAAAAAAAATTAAAAAATCACTGAAAATGTCAATACCCAACTCCACCTTAGACCGTTGTTATAGGACCAGGAGAGGCATATGAATAATTTTTTTTTTTCAAATAAAACTAAATTAGGCGTAATTTCTCTCAACTAAAATCTTGGCTCTAATACCGTTACGATAAACTTTTATCTGGTATACAATTAATAAGTTTTGCACCCTCATCAACATTGCCACCATGACTAGGGAACAAGTTACTTTTTGAGAAAAGAAGAAGAAGAGAGGAAATCCTTGTTCTAATAATGCAAAAGCACTATAATTGTTGATAAAACACCAGGTTAATTAATAATAATAACCTTACTTATTATAGCATGCAGTTTTAATGCAGGCTTGTTGGATAAATGATAGTAATATTGCTAATGATAGCATTCAAATTTGGAAGCTCAAGTACATAATGAAATGAATGGAGTACTCATGGGTTTGTGTGGTGGGTGACATTTTTGAATAAATTATTCAATATTTTAAGGATAACACACACATATATATATATATGAAGTGTCAATTAGTAATTGGTGTGGAGCATTAATCCAATAGTATTTAATTATTTTTCTCCTTTTATGAAAAAAAATTAATGAAATAAAAACATTTTGTTTTTTGATCACGTTTTATTTTTTTACAAAAAACACATTGAAATTTTTGAACAAAACATAGTCAAACAAAAGGTTGGTCCCTCATTTTCCGGTCATTTGAGAGTTGTGTATTTGGGACGGGACGGGTCGGGTCAAGTTGGGGGTTTGCAGGGTTGGAAGTGGAAGAATTTGGTTGCGGATATTTCTAGAAATATTGGACTTGCTTTCTTTTATGAGGAATTACAATTTAGTGGTCATTTAAAAAATATTTATAAATGAATGGGAAAGTTTATAATTTTAATTATTAATATTTATAAAATTTATGAAAAAATGTTTCATGACATAATTTTTTCTTTGCAAACCTCTAGAATGACATAGTAAGAAAAACACAAATTAATGACCTACGCTCATACACTCCTTTTGTCTCTCAAAATCTTTCAACCAACTTTATTACATCGTTCGGAGGATTTGTGAGTGAAAAATTATGTGAATGTTGTATTGTTTAAAATTTACCACTGATGTTTCAACTTTAAAAAAAATAAAAAAATTACATGGAATGGTAATTTTCTCAATGGTTAAGTAGTCATACATTTGCGTGTGATGAGTGTAAAGTCAATAGTTCAAGTTGATGGAGTAGCGGTGAACTCTTTAATTATAATCTATTACTTGTGGGGAATCATTGATTTTCCCTAACAAATGTTGTATTGTTTAAAATTTACCATTGATGTTTCAACTTTAAAAAAAATAAAAAAATTACATGGAATGGTAATTTTCTCAATGGTTAAGTAGTCATACATTTGCGTGTGATGAGTGGAAAGTCAAGAGTTCAAGTTGATGGAGTAGCGGTGAACTCTTTAATTATAATCTAACTATTCTAACACTATTTTTGATAAGATTTTTTTTTTAAAAAAAAGTATGACAGCCAAGCTTTGGGCATTTGACAGCTGATTTTACAGCTAGCGTTAAACATAATTTATGAATATAATTACGTTGCAAATCGAAGCCGACGTCCAAGCACTGACGCAACTTATGTTCGGACAGCCTAACGAGAGTTACATTATCTCACTAATCTTTATTTTTATTTGCAGGTATCCCCTAAGCTAGTTTATAGTAATCAAGATTATCCATGTTTATCTTGAAAGAAACTAGTGTGCGAAATGTTCCCTTTTGTAATGTTGGTCAGTTTTATTTATTTATTTTTATTTTTATAGAATTAATAATAAATAATTTTTTTAAGAAATGTGTTTGATCAGTTGTCAAAAGTGGTTATCATTGGTAATGGAGGATGGTCGGCAGTGACCATTCGATCATAGGAGTCAGTCAAAACTCAACTCCTGTGACTAGAGATAGTGCGAGAGGAAGGAAAGACCAAAAATTTATTTCGAAAACACATGATCACACTTTTGTTTTTTTTTTTTTGTTTCCAATTATTAAAATTTACTTAAATGAAAACATTATAGCAAACATGAAATCACATTTTGTTAATATCTAAATTATTTAAATCGTATTTTTTATTCTTTCCCCCCCCTTCCCATCCCCATCTTGTTGGTACCACCCTTTTCCCAACCTTAGACTAATGTCCATACCTATTAGTGACAAAGGAAAGATGCTTATGCTCGAAAATGGAGGCGTGGGAGGAGAGAACAAGTAAAAATCTTATAAATTTTGAGATTTCATGTTTTTGAATTTTTTGAAAGTTACATTCCTGTAATTAAAAAAAAATTTCTTCATCTTTATTTTAATTTTTTAACCTAATTTTTTGTTGTCGTTTCCCAAAAGGCAAATGATAAATAAAACAATGATTCTAGATATATAGAAACAAACCACAAAAATATTCAGAAAACTCACATTGAATGTAATTTGTAAACCTCACTGTTTGAAAACCACAGAACCAGCCAGGTGAGTGCCTAGTTTTTTTGTTTTTTTTTTAATAAATAACAATAACAATAACAACAACCATAGCTATCTATATATATATATATATATATAAACAATAACCATAACCATAAAAATTGCACAATAAAAAAAAGGGATGAGGTAGTAGGGGGGACCCAATAGTACTACTGTGTGTACCTGTCCAGTGGAATGCAATCCTTATATTCCTGACTGAGAGAGAGAGAGAGAGAGAGAGAGAGAGAGAGAGAGTGTGTGCGCATAAACTTTTCGAAACAAAAAACAAACAAACGAATGATTAAGATTATTATTATGGGACATAATACCGATTGATTAGAGTAAAAACAAAATTCATGAATACAGAAAAAATTACATATATTCATACATATGGCAACACATGATGGGTTTTTGGTGGTGGGGACCACGTGCATAATTGAAAAGTGAAAGAACCAAAAACTGGGCAGAGGTGAGAAGGGAACATAAACAACAATGAGAGACCTTGTATGGGTTTAAGGGGACATTTCCTTCTGTATCATCTCTGCTGGCTTTGGTTGATGTAGAGAGTGAGAGAGAGAGTGAGAGTGAGAGTGAGAGTGAGAGTGAGAGAGCTCCATTTTGTCTCCATACCATACCCAGCTTCTGTTTATTCTGTATGTATTCGTATACGTATCGACCCATTCTGGTTGTGTGTGTGGGCCGAGATTTGAGGCAGCTTTACTGGCTTTTCGATAATACAAAAGTTTAAAAAATTCAAAAAGAAAAAAAGAAGAAGATTTTTTTGAATTGTTACCAAACTTGCATGTTTCTTTTATTTCCTCATAAGTTAAAGAGAAGGAAACAAAAAAAATCATTTTCTAATTTGAATACAAAAATGGAGAGATATTTAAACTACGAGAAAAGATAGGGATCATGAAAAGACTTTCATGAAACTGATCATGAAAAATTTATAACTCTTGGATTACCTTGATTAGTGTGTGGTGTTTTATTTTAAGTGTAATCCAAAGGTCATAAATCTTTCATGATCATTTTCATGAAAGTTTTTTCATGATACGTAGCATTGCTCTTAAACTACAGTAATAATACATATCTCTAATATTAGAGATTTAAATGGAGTTGTAATGAAGGGGAAGAGAGGGAGAGTAGAGAGATAAAGAGAGGCATGTGGGCTCCATCTTCACATGAACACTCTCCACATCATTAGAACTGCATTATAACTCTCAAATTAGAACTCTCAAACATTATTATTTAAACTAATCATTTTACTACAACAAATCCATGAAAATGAATTTAAATTACAAAACTGCCCCATCACTGCATCCTTCTAAAAAATTATAAAAGACTATGTTTGGTTCATGAATTTAAAAAGTGATTGAAAAAGTTCTATAAAATATAATTATATTTTATTCACATTTTATTTACATTTTCTATTTCAATTTTCAAAATTTTACTCAAATTTATGAACCCAACACAAACAATTCTATGAGAATATATTCCATTTAGCAGTTGCAACCAAGTGCGTTAGTACCTACATTTTTTTTTTTTGACTAATTTAGTAACTTTTTGGCTAATTGACTAAAATAGCCTCTTGCCAAACGAAGCCTAAATTACAAAACTGCCCCATCACTGCATCCTTCTAAAAAATTATAAAAGACTATTTTTAGTTCATGAATTTAAAAAGTGATTGAAAAAGCTCTATAAAATATAATTATATTTTATTCACATTTTACTTACATTTTCTATTTCAATTTTCAAAATTTTACTCAAATTTATGAACCCAACACAAACAATTCTATGAGAATATATTCCATTTAGCAGTTGCAACCAAGTGCGTTAGTACCTACAATTTTTTTTTTCAGCTCGAGTCAATACCTACATTTATTTATTCATTTAAAACTATTTTAAATTTTATTTATTTTTATATATTATTTATGGGGTGGTTGTTTATTATGTTGCAACTTGCAAGTCAAATGAAACTACTAACAAACAAGCCCTAAAGGTTTTTATTTATTTGAAAGATTTTAAAAGCCCAAAGAGAAACAACATGGATCAAGCCTTGCAAATTAATGAGCCCACCATCATTCTAACAGGAAACAGCCCAAGAACTATTAGCGCCTGAAACTGAGCCCAACCCACAAAATTCAAACATCACAGCCCAAACCCGGGAAGCTCACATTCCTCCGATTAGGGTTTAGCTAAAACAAAATCCAAACTTGAAAAATCAAAAAACAGAGAGGGTTAGGGTTTCTGTCATCGAATCAGGTGGTTCAATGGAGGGATTGAAGGTATCGGATGCGAAATTGGTGGTATATGTTCACCCATCGAAGGCCAACAAGGTCTCTCAAGCCATCCTTCGTGAACTCAGCTCATTGCTCTTCAAGTAACAACTTTTTACTCTCCTTTAGCTTTGAATTTCATTCTGTAAATAGATAGATTTTTCTTCTCAATGAATGAATGAACGAACGAATCGAGTTAGATTGAACGACTTTAAATAAATGCACTTTTTAGTCTCTGGATTTGTTGGTTATATTAATAAATTTTTTTTCAAAGAGTAGATGAAGTATTGTTAATTTATGAGTTTGAGCTTAAGTGCAGCATTTTAAAGAATGTCAACAACTTACGCGCCGTTTGTTTACGGAAAGTTTGTGCCAGAAAATATTTTCAGGGGAAAACATTTTTCTATGTTTGGTGGTGATGGTAGTGGGTTGGCGATGGCGATAATGGCAATGTAGGTGGTGCCAGTGGCCGTGGTGATGGTGGTGTAGTGGTGGAGATGATAGTGGCGCTGGTAGTGTGGCGACATTGGAAAGATTTGGAAAATGTTTTTTTCTTTTTAAAAGCGAAAAATATTTTCTACCTAAATAGACTTGTTTTTTGTTGTTGACTATGAAAAATGTTTTTCTTTGACTTTCATTATTTATGGAAAATATTTTCGCCTAAACAAACGGAGCGTTAGGGTCCATCATTGGGATAATTACATTGATTCATACTTTTGGAAAAGAAAACAAAAATTATTTACCAATGTGGGTGATCCTTTATTTATTCTCATAATATGGTATCTCTGACAGGTTTAATGAAACTTTCGATGGTGTTGTATTGGCTTACGATGTCAATCTCCCTAGTAAAATTGCGAGGATTCTTCCTGGAATTCATCCTTACTTTGGCGTGAGACTAGAAGCAAAACTGTTGCTTTTTCATCCAAAGCCAAACATGCTTTTGGGTAGTTCTTCTGTGAGATCCTTCTTATAACATGTTGCATGATTCTAGTAGTAGTCACTTTTTGACATGAATATACGAAGCTGTGTCAAAGTCATTTCATTTTTTGATCTAAGGACAACATATTATTTAACCTTTTTTTTTTGTCTTTTATTTTCTGTAATTTTCAGAAGGGATGGTAGTGAAACTTGGCCAACAATCTATTCATGTTATAGTTCTTGGTTTTTCGTCTGCTACCATAACAGAGGAAGACATTCGTGATGAATTCAAATATAAAGTTGTAAGTACCTTTGGATTATTTTCTGTATTTGCTGATCTTACAGGCTCATAGTGAATGATCATCCATGCATTACCTTACATTCTAATTTTGTTACAGAAACATGGCAAGGAAGTATTTGCTAGCACATCTCACAAACGGCATAAAATAAAAGTTGGAACCATTTTACGTTTCTTAGTCAAGAGGTGATTTTTTCTATTTATTTATTTATGTAACTGCTGAATTAATGTTTCTTTCGGCATGTTCTATTTTATGATGGACATTTGAATCTTATAGCTCCATTCGTCAATTAAGCTCCATTTTGTAGAAAGGTTAAGTGATGAGGAAGACCAACATCGGTCTTTTTTTTTCTTGTGGTGTATACACTTCTCTGCCAATCCGTGTTTAGGGACAAAACATTGTTTCTATCTTCTTCACCTAGTGAGACAGTTAAATATCAAATGTAATGGAAAGGCATTCATTGTGGGCAACACTTGTCTTCTTACAACAAATTTATTGCCCAAAAATTTTGTATTATTGAATCTGGAAGCGAGCTATTTGCTTGTCAACTGCTGTCCTGTCATGGGTGAAGTGGTATATTTACACTCTTGTTCCCCTCCGTATTATCCACCTTCCATAAATATATTGAGATTCAGGTAACTTATAGGCACATGTTATTACTCAATACCAACAGATTTATATGTCCTATTTTGTTTCTTCTATTATCTGGTGCATTTGATTCATAAATGTTTACTTGATATATTGGGTATTGTTGTTTTATTTCAATTATTGTATCATACATACATACATCCTTGTTTAAATTCAAGTTGTGAAGCATGGTGTCATGCTGCTCTGTTCTTCGTTGTTATTTGATAATAATTCCTGTTCTATCCCAAAATAAAAGAGAGATTCCTTTGACTTTTAAGGATAATGCGAGTTGATATGGTCTTATCTTTGTAGTTTTGATGAAGAGATACTCCATATTTCTGGGTCTTTACTCCCAGCTCACACAGGAAGCATCCAGTGGTTGGATAAAAATTTGGAAGACGGCTCACACATTGACAGGTTTTACTCTAAACTTCAAGCATTAGGCCCTGGGGGAAATTTCCTTAATTTAGAAAAGCAGGTGTGCTGAAGGGCATTTGGACTAACTGTTTTTGTCTATGAAAAAATTATTTAGGAGTACCAAGAAGCGGAAAGAAAGTGAGGGAAGACGGGAAATGCAGGAGCATGAGAAAGAGATGGTTGATGTGGCAGCATTTTCCATGAACACTGATCGTAGACATAAGAAGTCAAAGAGACCGAAAAGTGGTGAAGATTCTTGAAGACTGATGCAGAGTGTGGATGTTCTTAAGCCACAGATTCTTCTAGGTAAGTTGTTTGTTCTTCTCTATTTTCAATAAAAGGATCTTAATGCATAGAATTTCTTGAACCTCCATTGATTTCATCTTCACCTTGAATTTCCCATGCAATGCAACTTATTTTCCTCAAATTTTAGTTTTCATTTGGTCAAATAATTTTAAGCTTTTATTTTTTTTGGGCGAATTACACTAACAGTCCCTATAATTTGAGATTCGTGTCACTTTGGTCCTTAACTTTTCAATTGTGACACGTTTAGCCTTAAATTTTGAATCTTGTTCCAAATAAGGACAATTGAAGATACCATTGCTCAATTTCAAGGGTAAAGTCGTCAATTTGATAAAATACAAACTAATTTTACAAAAATAAATGTCAAAAAAATATTTTTGAATTTTTAAAAATAATTTTTCTCCACCAAAGATGAAATTATGTCAAATTGATAATCTTATTTACTATTTAATTTTTTTACTAAATTAATTTTTATTATGTGTTTAGATGATAATCATGTAATGGGTGGTTGTTAGGTTTTTAGTGTGTAATCAATATATTTAATATATGAAATGTTTTTAGTTTTGGACTTTTTAATTTAATGTATTGGTTTAATAATAATATCAAAATTGTCGTCATATTTGATTTTTGAAAAAATAGAAACTAATTTAATAAAAATAAAAACAACCACCCATTACATGATAATCATCCAAACACATTATAAAAATTAATTTGATAAAAAAATAAATAAATATTTAAAAGATTTATCAATTTTACATAATTTTATCTTTAGTGGGTAGAAATAAATTTTAAAAATTAAAAAATATTTTTTTGACATTTATTTTTGTTAAATTAGTTTATTATTTATCAAATTGACGACTTTGTCCTTAAAATTAAGTAATGATATTATCAACTGTCTTTATTTAGAACAAGATTCAAAATTCAAGATCAAATGTGTTATAATTGAAAAGTTAGGGATCAAAGTGATACAAGACTGAAACTATAAGGACCGTTAGTGTAATTCGCCTATTTTTTTTTTTTTTTTTGTGGGTGAGATGTATTCTTATCTGATATTGTATTATTACTTTTTCTTGTGTTGGGCCTTGATACCTTGTTTGCACAATTGCTTATTCAATGGACCTTTTTTTTTTTTGTGTTTTTCCCTGGGGAGAGAAAAGATGCACGAAATAGCCGTATATGGATGCTTAGTTTGTCATGTTTGTGTCTTGCAGGCTTGGCAAGTTTGATTCTCTGGAAGTGATTGTCAGAACCTAGTAGCCCGTTGTTTTTGCATCCTACACATGTGGCTTAAAAATGGAAATTTGAGGAGAATATACATCATTATGTTAGTTGGGAGTCTTTGGGTGATCCGCAGTTGCAGATTTAGGGGGAAAGAAGTTGTTTAGAAGCATAGAACTGAAATTGTTAAATCATAGAATACAGAATTTACCATTATTTGTGAAAATGAATTTATTTTTTGTAATAGTGTTTTTATTCTTCTCATTTTGTTGTATGGCGACAATATTTAATGATATGGAAGAGAAACTAGGTTGGCGCAAAGAGGAAGAGGTGGTTATACTTGTATGTGGATTGTTTTTATAGAAATATGGGACTACTAAGGCCAAGTTGGCAACTCTTAAAAAATTTAAAAAGTTAAAAAGTCACTATCCTATTTAAATCACATTATCTTATTTAAATCACATCACCTCTCTAACACATCATTTCAAATCCAATCCAAATCCAATCCATATTTCATAAAAAGTCAAAAAGTGCACTTATTTAGTCTTCCCAAACTTGGCCTAAATATTATCGGGCTTTTTTTTCACCAGGGTATATGGCAAGTGGTGATATAAAATGGTGACAAAAATCAGTGGCGTATGTCAATTCTCATAAACACATTACATTGAATTTTGAACCGTTTAATTTGTAGATTCTAGCATATGTAAAAAAAGGCATTCTTGAACGGTATCACTGATGACCGCTGCTGTGCTTATCAGAAAATTAATCAAAGAATTATCAGAAAATTAATCAAAGAAATTATCAAACTGAGTAGATGCTTCCTTGCCAAATCACTTCAGAAATCATACTTGCCTAATGATAATCTTGAAAATTTAGATTAAGCAATTACAAACCTCTAGGCCTAAAATTTAAAATTAAAAAATGCAGAGGCCAGCAGAAATGGTAGGTCAAGGTGGCTGTTGTGAAGATCATTGTCTAACTACATGGTTTTTTTTAGCAATAACTACTAATTTGTCAATGGGTTGATGCCAAGCTTGCAGATAGACAAGGTCTTCTAGATCAATCAACATAGATAGTCACTTCCTAGATTGTATCTTGTGTGGGACCCCTCATCATTGCTAAGTTTATTATATTATCATTGAGAATAAACTATAAAGATAGCAAATTGGGAAATAATGTTTTCAATGTAAAACCTCTAAGCAGTCCAGTAGGGAAATTTTGACAGTACACATTGATAAAAACCCGCCTCTCCCACAAACATCAAAGGGAAAATTTGATTTACCTAATAAAAATATTTGGAGCAAAGTTACAACCGAAGAAGATTGCCTCAGTTGATCAGAACCCTGATTTTCATTAGTTCTAATTTTTCGATGTGGAAATGGACAATTTATGGCAGCAAGTGCTTATTTCCACTTCTTTAGTTTTCAAAATTTTCTTGCATTAATTGAACTGATGCCGATGGACCAAAGAAGATCATTTATTTTCTTCTATCATCACCCCAATCTTGCTGCTGGTGGATGATCCAGTTCTATATTGATCAATAGTGATAGTCCTTAGATTGGATCTTGATTGGTGACCCTCCTTGTGATTGGCTGGCCCAATCATATGCTACAGTTAGATTGGGACAGATGTCAAAAATCCAGCTGGCTATCAGATTTTTATTGTACTTCAGGATTTCTGTATTTTTTTTTTTTGGGGTGTAGGTTTACTGAATCATTTTGTAAGGATTTGGGTTGCAAGTACATTTTATTTGTGACATGTACTTATGTTTGGTATGACAATCGCATATATGAGTAGTGTCTAAGAATTACAATGACAGATCAATATAAAAGCTAGAGATTGATTATATATGAGAAGCTCGAAATATAGAAATTTTGAAATATGGTTTTATATTTAGAAAATATATTAGAGCAGAAGAGTTCATACGATTGTATGCCCATTATAAGTGATGGAATCATGATCAATCTAGGTATGGGGTTTCTTTCAAAAACACCCCATACTCCTTTACGGGCCAGCCTTCATAAATCCATTAGAAAATGTTAATATGTACATATGTATGAGAGAGAGAGAGAGAGAGAGAGAGAGAATGGAAGCATGTTACGAGGCCGGATTATAGGGGAAGCTTTGTGACAACCTAGACTGGTGTATTCTTGTGATTATAATAACCCAACAGGCACATGGGAGGTGGATGCAACTAAGAGAATCATTCACCAACCTCAAACCCCTTCCATCTCTCTCTCCCACACACATAAGAACATGAAGATATACATGGTTCAACTATAAGTCTACGTACACCAGCAAAGAATGATATAGGATTTTACTATCGAAGAATGATAAATTACAAAGAGCGATTGTCTCTTTCAAAACCATCTTATGATAAGAATTCACTCTAATCTTCTAACTCTAATCCCTGAAACAGCCAATAATATATACTAAGATCCAAATATTACAACAATTGAGTCGAACCTAGAATTGTCAAAACCGTATCTCCCCTCTTGATAGGGCTTGTTATCCTCGAATCTTTGTTTGTTTAGCTCTCTTAATTTTACCCACGTCTCACATCTCTCTCTGATGAGAAGGGATCTTAAAGATTTTGGCAAATGTGATGATGGTAAGCTTATCTGATGTTAATATAATATTGCTAATTGCTAATTGTATATAATATTGCCAATTGTATAGCTTTCTCTTTTCTCTTTTTGCTTTCGGTGGTAATGCCCATCATTTGGAATCCAATGTATATTGCTTCTCTCTATAAAGAGAGAGTTGATTTCTCTTGTAATTACAGAACACACAATACAGAAAACATTTTGCTCTCTAGCTTCTCTCATTCTTTGCTCTCTAGCTTCTCTCTCAAACTAATCTTTCATCTGATATATTAGGAGTTGTATATGAACTAATTGCTAAAAATTTAAAAATAGCTCTCACAAGGGGATGACAATCATTTTCAATCATTTGTTCTAACTAAAAAATATAAAAAACGTATTTGTGAGTTATTAATTAAGACTAACACTAATCAAGCCCTAACACCCTCACCAAACCACCCACCACAATTAATTGCCCCTCTCACTAAACACAATCACATCACCATTCACTACAAAAAAATTAAGGATTAGAGACCAAAATTTAAGGGTAAAATTATTTTTAAGGTCCAAATATTTTTGTTGAGAAAAGTGTCGTTATTATATTTTTAGCAACAAAAATTAGATATTAGTGATAAATTATTATGCTTTTGGGACCAAATTTTTTGTCTCAAAAAATAAACCATTTTGAGACCAAATTATTTTGTTCTTAAAAGTCTATTTATTAGTGACATTTTCAAAATTTTGTCGCTAAAATCCTTGTTTTGGACTTTTCGGGACGACCTTTTAGTGACTATCCTCATGACGATAAAAGTTAGTCCTTAAATGTCTTTTGCAATAAAATTTTCACTTTTAAAGACCAAAACATTTGGTCTCTCAAACTCTTATTTGTTGTAGTGATTGTCACAAGAAGTTCATTCTCTTGCATCATTGTGTCTTGTAATCGTGTCAACCAAGCACTCACTATGTAATAATCATCATTAGTTTCTTAATTTCTTCATCATTATGTGTTAAATATCATTCTCACAGAGAAAGAGGGCGAGGGAGAAAGCTAAAAAGTACTTTGTAATATGTCTTTTTCTTCATGCCTACAGAACTATGTCATGTTCATGAAAAATTGGGTTTGACACTTGGATGATACATATATATATATATATATATATGAGATCATGTTCATTGCTTTTGATAAACAACACAAGGGAGAGGTGTTGGTGAAAGCTTAGAGGGTACGTGATATTTTAAACACTTTGGTAGTGGTGATTCCATACTCAACGCAGTGGGTAGACTTTTGATATTAAACAATATAATAGAATAAAAATTAACTTGAAGTATAGGAGATTGTCTTAGAGTTTGTTTCCCATGCTCAAATTTTCATTTCTCATCCAGGAAAATTTTATGTAAACTAATAAATTTTATTAATTAATTGATGTGTGATGTAATATATATATATATATATATATTTGAAATATGTAGCTTGGCTCATTTTAATAATGTGATAGATGTTACATTTTTTTTTTGATAGTGAAAATTGTTAATTTGTGTACTATTCTTTTTCAACAAAATCATAACAGTGTAGGGTATGGATTTCTAGGGAACTAGGAATGATCAATCATAGCAGCAAAAGAGAAAATAAAAGTAGTGATGGATGGGTATAATGTGCAATAGATAATTGTTTGATATAAGCTGGCAATTGGGTTGGAATTGCCTTGTAGAAAGAACCACACCCATGCCTGTGTAGTACCATAAATTGTAAAATTACAAATTCAGATTTAATTATTTAGATATTATTTTAAATTATTATTTTGTGATTTAAATTTACATCACACATGATTCTATACTATACAAATTCAATCTCAATCACATTCTCATTCAAAGTAAATTCGGATATCATACGCCTTGGTTCATAGGCTTATTCAATCATAAAAGTTTATGAGAAATTTGTCTATCAAAGTAGTTATTTTGTGAAGCAGTTAAATAATATAGATAATTTTGAAATTTTTTTAAAAACAAAATTCCAAAACCTGTTGAGTTATTTATTACATAGAAATGTGTATTGTACGTGTATGTATGGGCATAGATATGTAGAAATGAGAATCTGTTGGCTTCTTCCAATAAGGATTGGTTCTCAGAAGCATAGATTCGATTCACCGTCCATTCTTGTTTTTTTCTCTCTCTTCTCTTGTCTGAAAAGCTGAAACAACAGAAAGCCTTTTGGTTTGAGCGTGCGTTGACATAACAATTATTATGAACCACTGTGAATTTATTGTGAATGAGAGATGTAGAGGGTTAAGATTAAATTTGTACCACTGTGAATTTATTGTAAATGAGAGATCTGGGATTAAGATTAAACAATAATGATTCATCCTATTAAAAACATCACCACTAATAGTACTAATGCATTAAAAAAGTAAAAAAAAAAAAATATATATATATATAATTCCAAAACCAAAATACAACTCCAAGATCAAAACATCACATCATTAATGGCGGGACCCACTACCACCTAATTAGTGGGAGCACTAATTAGTGCTCCTAAGCATTTTTCAAGATTAAATTTGTGTAGTACCTGATTTAAGAGTGTTATGCTACAAATTTGTAATTGTAAAATGTACATTTTGTACGTATTGTTAGTGCACCCCTACCTGTACAGTCTCTTCCCACTTTTTTGTTTTCTTAGCCTTCGTTTGGGAACAAGCTAATTTAGTAATTTTTTAGTTATTTGGCTAAAATATGAATTAAAAA